GAGACCAGTGCGCATCCAGGAAGGGCCTGGCCTCCCTGCCCTCTCACAGCCGATGTATTGGTAGATCTGCCTTGTCTTCCATACACACATCCATACGCCATCCACACATCACACACAGGACACAGGCATGACACACAGGTAGCAGATGTCAACATTCACCCATGTGCACACCCCATGCACAGTAAATACAATCTCTCTCTCTCTCTCTCTCTCTCTCTCTCTCTCTCTCTCACACACACACACACACACACACACACACACACAGGCTCCAAGAAGACAAGAATCAACTCTAGTTCAGATTCTTACAATGTGGTTGATGTCCTGTTGACTTACCTATTTCACAAAGACTCAACCTTATGTTATAATCGCTCTTTTGAAAGTCTTTTAAGTGACATTTTATGCCATAGAAAAAAATTCCCAATTAGGCTAATGAGGTAGGAAAATCAGATTCTCAGAAAGCCTTTAAAATGCTGCAGGACCTGTAAATGGGGGTGGGTGGGTGCCCCTCACCCATCCATGGCACACGGAAGCAAGGCCGAATTTGGACCGCCATCAAAATGGTACAAGGAAAATACATGTGGGTCCAATAAAGATTGGCAAGACAGGGGCAAAAATGGGGGGCCTCCTGAACTGAGAACCCAGAAGATCTGCCCTAAGGTGGCCCTATCCCTTCCCTTACTCACTTCTCCTCCCTAAAAAGCTTTTCCTGTGCTCCTCCTCTCTGCTGCCTACTCCTGCAGATGAATTGAGTTAAAGGGACATAGCCAAGGACGCTCCCTAATATGTTCACTTTTTGATGCCATCACCCTGGAACCAGTGGGGGAAATGATGGCATTTCTGGTTGTTATGTTTGGCTTGTCCCCCTCTCTTTCCCTCCATCCCTCCCTCACCTTTCTTTTTTTTCATTTGCCAAATAGTCTTCCCCAGCCCCTCATGTTCCCAATGATGCTTGAAACATAAGATAACGTGTTGGGAGAGCAGTGTTCCAATATCTGGTGTCCCTTTAACATGGCTTGCTTGTTTTGGCCTCCTTATTTGCTCCCTAGCGTCATCCAAGATCGGCATGGATGCTACCAGCCCAGCTCTGGAAACCATGTTTAGCAATCCTTTCTACTCTAGAGCCAAGAGGTGGGCAGGGGTTGGGGCGAGAGACCTGTGCCTAGGTGTTTGGGAGGCCCATCCAGAGGCAGCTGTTCCTCTCCAGTTGTTTCATTCAGTTCAAATTGTGGGAAACTGGCCTTTGCTGCTGCCTGTGTGGTCCTTGACCAAAGCAGTGTGCGACATGAGAGCTGGGGCAAGGAGATGACCGACTTGACCAATGTGGGCGAGACCCATCGTCCTCAGGCACCCTGGGGAAGCGTCATTGGGCTGGGACATCTCAGAGCTGCGAGCAAGGGCGCAGGGACCTCCCAGCTCCCTTCTGTGGCCTTTCCTCGGGGCAGCTTCAAGGCTGGTCCTGAGATGGAGTTCACAGAGGAAGAGTGATGGGTGAGGCCAAATAGAGGCCAACTAGAGGGTGCTGGAGCCCCCAGGAGGACCCGCCCTGTTCTGTGTCCCGGCAGGCGAGCGCAGGAGGGTGTGGGGGAGGCATCTCTCTGTGAGTCTGAGTTTGAATCGTCCGTTCCTTCCTCTGCTGCAGATGAGTGAGAGTGAGACTCTCATCAGTATGGTGAACCGCATGGTGGAGAGCTCCTCCCCCAGGGCCCAACTCTTCATGCAAGTAAGACCTCTGCTGGCAGCATGAGCCCTGTCAACACCATGTCAGCTGCTTGTGCATGGTCCAGTCAACCCACCTGGGATGGGGCTTGCTCCGCCCAGCCCACTCATCTGCCAGGCCTCATCTGCCAGGCTCAGCCCGGTCTCCCTCCTTTAATGCCACTGTGTTTCCTTCATTCTTCATGTTCATGGATAAACCCAAGGCCCATTTCCCAAACCATCAAAATAGCACCGACATCTCATGCCTGCCAGGGATCACAGATCTGCTTTGTTAATGTCCAGGGCTTCTATTTTATATTTGGTATCTTCTCCGCAGACATTACTGGGGATGGGGGCATGGGTGTGTGACAGGGAACCATCCCAGGCCAACGGTGTGAAAAGGGTGCTGTGGTTACTGGATGCGTCATGGAGGGCAGGGAGCACATACTGGACCCAGAAACACTTCTGTGTGTGTGTCAGTCCTGGTTCAGGCACCAGCCCTGTGACTGGTGTTCAATCCGCTAGGTCAGCAGTCTCAAGTATTTTCAATGCTCATTCCGTTCTCCCATGTCTGATCCTCAAACACAGCTGAAGGGTAACTGTTGTTCTCCTGTTGTTACCCACAAGCCCTCTGGGAGCTACACACTCTTGGAGTCCCTCTCAGCAGTAGGTCCTAGAGCTTTGGGAAAAGGAGACAGCAAGAGCTGAGCAGTGCCTCTACTTCTAGCATGGGCCTAGGACCATTGGGATGGAGCCTAGACCAGGCCGCCCCAGGCTTCCCAGCCAGGGCACAGAGAGTTAGCTCAGCTCAGGGGCCCAGGTGGAAGCTACCAGAGGTGGTGTCCGATGGTCTCTGGCAAAAATGGAGCAAGGGCTGTCGCTCTCCCACCTCCGCATGCTCTCTGTGCCCTGCTGCAGTAACCGGCCTCATGTTCCCGCAGGTCCCTCCGTACCCAGAAGTGTTCCGGGACGGCGCCCACACCTACAAGTTAAACGAGCAGGATACAGACGTAAGAGCAGCGCTCCTGCTCCCTCTGTCCACTCCGCCCTCCTGCTGCTCCTCTCGTCCTCCAGCTCCTCCATCCATCTCTCTCCTCGCGGCTCTTCACACATGCGATTCATGTTCTCTCTCACTGCAAAGACAACATTCTTCCTGTCCCTCCTCACCCCCCTTCTTTTCCCATTCTCCCCCCTCCCCCTGCCTCCCACTCTGGCTGTGTGTTCCTGCCCTGAGCCCCAGGCCCCGTGTCTCCAGCAGTGGGATCTGCTTCCTGCAGGAACTCAGACTTTGCTAGGAGGTCAGTCTTAGTCCCTAGGTAACTGGAAAGAAGAACATGGCTGTGCCCCAGCCGTCCGGGAGCTTTAGGGTAGCGGCAGACACCAGGTGCCAGTAGGTGGCAGCAGATGATTCATATACGAACAGCCCGATAACAGGCTCTGCAGGAGTGAGACCATGTGGGCTGGTAGGTCAGGGTCAAAACAGGTGGCATGTGAGCTGGCCTTGAGCTCAAAGGCCCAGAGACATGATCTGGTTCAGGGGGAAGGAGCTGCAGGGGTATGGGAGGAATGGCATGAATAGAGCTGTGCACGTAGGAAAGCACAAGTCTTTCCCGAAGAAAGTGTGGCCTCACCTGCTTTCTCTCCATCTCCACTGGCTTCTCTGGGGAGCAGATCTGCCCAGCAGGCCTGGGAGAGGTTCCATTCAGGCGAGGACCAGACCTCGGAGGGACCCCAGCGTCAGTCATCCTGAGACCCTGGCGAGGGGAGGGGAGAATAGGTGGTGTGGACCATGGAGCCAGTTTACATTGTTTACTGGGTTTCAGAGACTGCTGTTCAAACACCCTACCTACTCCTTGAGTCCATATCACCCAGGAGGCCTGGAGGGCCAGGCCACGTTCTCTCCCCAGCCCTCATGAGTTGGAAGACCTGGGAGGATGGGAATGTAGGAGCCTAATGTTTGGCGTTCAGCCCTCTCTTCTCTCAAGCTGACTCACTTCCTTAGAGAATAAACACACCTCCCCTCCCAGTGGGTTCCTAGGGAATCTCCCAAGGTAAAGACCACCTTCCTGTTCCTAGGAGTTTCCCAAGTCAAGGTGAAAGGCTAGGTTTCTCTGCAGGGGAAAGGAGGCGGTATCCAGAGGCCGGGCCCTGCCAACCCAAGTCTCAGGTCCCCATCAAATCATGTCCTTCACCCCCTTCTCTCTCCCTTCCTGCCCCCCACTCCCTCGGGACCCCAGAAGTTGCTGGGCAAATTGTGTGAGCAGAACAAGGTGGTGAGGGAGCAGGACCGGCTGGTGCAGCAGCTCCGAGCTGAGAAGGTGAGAACCAAGGGGTGGCCTTGAGTGGGGGCAGGTGGTGGGGGAGAGCTGAGGGAGAAGGTGTGGGCTGCCATCTCCATCTTGACTAAGCTGAGAGCTTTGCCCTCCTTGAATTTCTGTCCTGCCCTTACTCTCCTGGGCAGCTTCAGACAGGGTGAGGACAACCGCCACTAATCGGCCTGGTTGGGCCTCTAGGGCTCCAGCCTGGGTTGCTAACAGCCCAAAAGAGGGGAGCTCAGGGCCACTCACAGCCCCCCCCCCCCCCCCCCCCCCCCC